GCCGCCGTCCTCACTGAGATTCTTGTCCCCGTTAAACGCCATGGGCCTTGTTCCTTTCGGGCAGTGGGCCGCACCACAAACGCTGGTTGAGTGCGATCTCGCCATGTACAACTCTTATGCCGCAGGCGCCAACCTAAACACTGCAGCACCTCGCTAATCACCGATGAAACACTAAGCACTTAGCAAGTGGAGATCACTAAAATGGTGTATCAACACCCTTGGTATCCACACCACTCAAATGGCCGGTTTTGTATTTATAAGCCCCATAGCCGTCACACCACTGGGCGGCTCATGAACCTCGAGCGCCGCCCATCGTCCAGCGTGGCAATCGCATCTAGGGTTTCATGTAATCGCACACCCTATTGGACTACAAAACAAACACTTGCAAATTCATTAGTCCAATTTGAGAAAGCAAATGGGCCAAGGGTCCATTTTCCTTCAGAAGGCTACCATGCGGGGCACAAGGGACCTTTCACAATCTATTATTGAGCGTATACTAACCAAGAGGCACAAGACCTTACCAATGCAATAAATGGTGAGAACCAATCACCTTTCATTTAGGATTTTTACTCCACCGGGAAACCTCCACATCATCTTGGTTTTTCAAAGAGTGGATCCTGGGTCTCCAAATGGAGAGGTGGATATCGCAATTTTTCCCGCCCTAGGCACAGCACACATAACAATCAACTCAAACAATACTTAGATTAGCATGCACATAGAAAGGGAAGAGAAAGGGCACAAGGGAAGGGAAGAGAAAGGGTGGGCATACACGGAGGAGCAACGTGATCGCCTTGCCGCATCGTGAGGGAGGGAGAGAGAGAGAGCGGAGAGGAGAGAGGAGGGGATGGAGAAGCTGGGGAAGGAGAAGCAGAAGCCCGATATATTTTGTCTCATTGGATTCGGACGAGAAGCCGGAGAAACCAAAGGTAACCAATGGAGAAGCCGTAGAAGTTAGAGAAAACGACAAGAAGCCGTTGTCCGCAGAATCCGCTCCAAACACTCAGAACCACACGATTGGAGATCCGACGGCAGCAGAATTTTGGAATGACGTGGAGTGGTGTTTTGTGGAAGCCCTACGGGTATTCTAGGGGTTAATATGTTACCACTGGTATTTTTTATAAAGAAAGAATTTCATTGATTCATAATCGTTACAGATACAATAATTATGAACCTACCCACTTCCGGTCTCTACAAAAAAGCACATAGCCTACCACATAAAATAGGAGAGTGTAGCACCCTAATGACTATTAATCTTGAGACTAGACAGCCACCATGTGCATAGGAGACAAACACCGTAACCGTTTTGCACCGATTGTTGCAAAGCCGCTGCAACTAAACCCTGCGAAGTGTGTTCAGCCAAGCAAATCCCCGGCCGAGAAAGTGTGAAGAAAAAGAAGCGAGGCTGTGTGTGCAGGAAAAAACAGCTCGTGGCAGCTGAGAGGCGCTGATAGATATAACTTGGGAAGCCAGGGACCACTGGTGCAGCTGCCTGGTGGTGGCCTCCCTCACTTGACGCCTCAGCTACCACTCTCTGTCTCTCTCTCTCTCTCTCTCTCTCTCCCCCCCCCACTCCAGGCCTCGAGCTCTGCTTAGATCACAGCTGTGCTCGTTGGTTGGGTGATCCGCCCCTTCCCCCTTGTCGGCTCCTTTCAGCTCGAGAGCTCCGGGACACGGAGGTCTGCGCTGTCGCCGCGCTCGCCTCGCCTTTCTTGCGCGCGCGTGTGGGCACTGAGCAGCAGTGAGCTCCCCCCGTCTTCCTCAGCCTCGTTTGCCCTCTTCCTGCTGGATCTGGCTCGCAAGATCCAACCTTTCGTGCCCCCTTTGCTCAAAGATCCTCGCTTGGGTGGTGGTTCCTGAAGATTGCTGGGAGGATGCAGCACGACTAGAAGAAGAAGGTCGGTCTCTTCTTCTGTCTCATCTCGTGGTGGTGGACTGGTGGTCCTCCTTGCTTTCTCGGCTCCAAATCTGGGCGTTTAGGACTCTCTGTTGACTTTTAGTCTCGTGTAATATTTGGTTTTTTGTTGCCAGCTTTGTCCTTGCTGTGTTTTTCCGTTGCTTTATTGGTCACAACGGTCTTGCAATTTACAAATCTACATGAGGTCTGGTGTCTCTGATGTGGCCATTTTCTTGTCTGATCTGTGGATATTGTTTGCCCCCCACGAAATTGTGATTTTTAGCCTCAGCCCTCAGCCAGTTCTTGCCATACATTGTCCAGCCTGAGTCATTTACTGTTCCTGACGATGCAGGCACCTTCAGAGATGGATTTTTTCACGGAGTATGGTGAGGGAAGCAGGTACAAGATAGAAGAGGTCATAGGCAAAGGCAGCTACGGCGTGGTTTGCTCTGCCATGGACACTCATACTGGTGAAAAGGTGGCTATAAAGAAGATAAACGACATCTTCGAGCATGTGTCTGATGCGACACGGATACTCCGGGAGATCAAGCTCCTCAGGTTCCTGCGGCACCCAGATATTGTGGAGATAAAGCATATCCTGCTTCCTCCGTCGAGGAGGGAGTTCAGGATATATATGTTGTTTTTGAACTCATGGAGTCTGATTTGCACCAAGTTATAAAGGCTAACGATGACTTGACACCAGAGCATTATCAGTTTTTCTTGTATCAGTTGCTTCGAGGATTGAAATACATACATACAGGTAATTGATTTGCTTCACATGAATTATTAGTGTTCTTTCTGTATATTCTACTAGGCTGTAGCCTGTGGTGTGGAATTTTACATTTACAGAAAAACGAGTGTGATGAACTTGCCACTGTGCATGACCATTGGAGTGGTATAAATGTAGACTTGACAGCAATCCAAACTATGTGGTAGTAGCCGTTAAATCACTGTTAACATTTTTTTTTGAGAAAAAGTTGAAAATTAACAATGTCTTCAGAAACTATACTCTCAAGAGACAAGAGGACCATATGAGATTGTAGGTTGTTTTCAGATACATCAAAACTGTTCATTTTGGTGTCTACTGTCTACTTTCTTCAAGGAGACCTTTCTTTGCGGTAGTCAAATATATCCCATCCAAAGTTCTTTATTGCTTAGTTTCTGAAATCTTAACCAAATGTAATGGTATTTTGCACTTGTTTTGGTGCAAATCAAGGTTCACTATAGGTTGTATGAAACTAAGAGTTGCTGCTTAACCATTCTCAATTCAGACATAACATTATTTTGCTTGTCTTTGTGAGATACTAAATTATATATGTATACTGCCTAGGCCCTGGATATATTATAGCCCCCTTTGGCACGGCTCATCCAAAACGGCTTCACCGGTGAAGCCAAAGCCGGTGAAGCCAGAAAAACTGGCTTTTCCCGGCTTCTAGTTCATTTTAACCCCGGCTTACAAAACGGTTTCACGCTACAGTGCCTCGATTTGCGCAAAATAGATGAAGCCAAAGCCGGCATAAGTCGTGCCAAAGAGGACCTATATAAGATTCATTGCTCTTGATAGCCATACTATTTTTGTAAATTGGCTGTATGTGTCAAGGAATAGTTTTGCTTTTTACAATGGTCATATATATAATATGTTTATGATCAAGAATATTTCTTACAACTCCTTTCCTTTTATGGTAATATTTTTTTATATAAAATACGTAATAAATATGATAACACTCTTTTCAGTGATAATATGATGGCTGTCATATATGTGATATATAGCTGTATAAACAGTCACATCTCAAATTATTTTGTATGAAATAACTAGAAATGGACAAGTCTATTTGAGCAAGATAATAGCAATGTCTGTTATATGTTGAAAATACAAATATGGAAGTAAGGGGTGAGCAGTAATACACAGGCAAAATTGTAATACTCATTAAAGATTCATAGTTGGTCATCATTAGGGGCTCCTCATCTGTTTTATTTCTACTGAGTCCTTTTAGTGGCACTAACATGCCTGATATGACTGATGCATCTTTCAATAGCTTATTGCAGCAAATGTATTTCATCGAGATCTCAAACCAAAAAATATTCTGGCAAATGCTGATTGTAAGCTCAAAATATGCGACTTTGGCCTAGCAAGAGTAGCTTTCAATGATACTCCAACTGCCATCTTTTGGACGGTATGCCATCTTTTCGACCACTATGCTGTTCAGTTCTTGTAGCTAGTCTAGCTTTCTAGTGGTGCCTAATTTCTTACTCTCTTTTTAGGATTATGTTGCAACTAGGTGGTACCGAGCACCGGAGCTGTGCGGATCTTTCTTCGCCAAGGTTAGTGGTCTTCTAAACATATGTTCGATTTGATGTCAATCATGACACGGGCAATAATAGTCATGATCTCTTTTCATCTTTTTTGCTGCAATATTCTAATTTAATGTGGTTAGTATTTAGTACTTCACAAGAATGCTGCTATTCTGACCAGGAAATCAAATATCTTAACCTTTGTTTTGATCATAATATATTGACATCCAAAGATTTAGTTATACTTTGGGGTCAATGGGTACTAGACCAATAACTGAAGACAAGTTTCTGCAGAGTCCATAGTTATTGAGTGCACTCTTATAGCTTATGCTGAGTTTATATGCAGAGCATCTCACAAACATGGCTTTCATAAGCGTCTACTTTAATCGCTTGATGTAATATCATGTCGTTTTAGATCTGTCACTATAGCATGTTGTTTGTTCATAGGAAGGACTGTTGCATATTTCTCTCTCACTTGTTCCATGGCCCTGTATAGTTTGTGAAATATCTGGAGCACTGTTGAACATTGTGTGTTTTTGCTTTTTTGCAGTATACACCGGCGATAGATATATGGAGTATTGGTTGTATATTTGCAGAATTGTTAACTGGAAAACCTCTTTTCCCGGGGAAAAATGTGGTGCATCAACTTGATATAATTACAGATCTCCTGGGAACACCTTCTCCAGAAGCAATATCGAGGGTAGGTACAGTTTAGCATCAATATGTTTATTATACTGCAACAAAATTAGTCTAATGCTTCTATATAATTGCCCTATAGATTCGTAATGAAAAAGCCAGGCGCTACTTGAGCAGTATGAGGCGGAAAAAGCCTATACCGTTTACGCAAAAGTTCCCAAATGCAGATCCACTTGCACTAAGTTTGTTAGAGCGAATGCTAGCTTTTGAGCCAAAAGACAGGCCAAGTGCTGAAGAGGTGATTTTATTGGCACTCCTTTTTCAGTACTGTATTATAGAGCGTTCAACTTAACCTGAAGTGTCGACATCATCAGCTAATGTCTCATACACTTTGCCAGGCTCTTGCTGATCCTTATTTCAAGAATATAGCAAATGTGGATAGAGAGCCTTCTGCACAGGCTGTCACAAAGCTTGAATTTGAATTCGAGAGGCGGAGAGTTACAAAGGAAGACATAAGGGAGCTCATATATAGGGAAATTCTTGAGTATCATCCAAAGATGCTAAGGGAGTTTCTTGAGGGAACTGAGTCAAGTGGTTTCATGTACCCAAGGTGTCTACATAGCCAATGCCACTTTTATTCTTTAACATTTGACTAAAAAGTACCTAATTTAGTTCTTGAGACAATTTTGTGCTGCTATAGTAGTAACCTGGGTACTCTGTATGTTTGTATGTTCATCATTCTTGCTCTATTACGTGTGCAGATTTATGAATGAAATAACCATTTTCACTGCTATGTGACTGCCAATAAGTGGTACATAAGGCATGAGATATAAAATTTTGCTTGATTGGTAGAGTAGTGATTACTTATTTTGTGGAACAATATTAATGGTGATTAGTGTAGCCAGTCAGGCACTAAATAAATTTGAGACTCATTTTCGTAGAACTGAAATGAGTTGCTGTATCATTTTTCAGTGCAGTAGATCATTTTAAAAAGCAGTTTGCATACCTTGAAGAACATTATGCCAAGGGATCTACAGGAACTCCACCTGAGAGGCAACATAATTCATTGCCACGGTGAGATATCACTCCTCTCTGCCTTGAGTTAAGTGATAACAATCTTAGGCACGATTGTCTGGTTCCTGATTATCTACTTGTGTATATTATGACAGGCCATCTGTTGCCTATTCAGACAACCGATCACAAACCACAGCTAACATCACCGAGGATCTTTCCAAGTGTATAATCAGAGAAAATACACAGAAGACACATCAATATTCTGCTTCTATTGCAAGTAAATTTCCACCCCATGTTCCTCACGGTAAACATCTGCAACCCCGAAGAGGTCGTTGTGCTTAGTTTTATAAACTGATGTGTTGTTACTGTATATTTGAGTTCCAGCCAAGCAGCAAGTTTTTGGATTACTTATCTGCTTTTTGTTCGTTAATGTTCTGTTATTGTGGAGAACTCATATCTAGAATATACAATAAACATTTGAATCATCATTATTAGTTCTGCATAATTTTAACTGGTAATCCTAGACTTATTTTATGCATCATTTCATCTGACAGGTGATGTTGCAAGGCCTGGTAAAGCGGTTGGTTCGGTGATGCAGTACAACCCCTATCCAGCATCTGCTGCCGAGCAATATGAGCAACGAAGAATTGCTAGGCACCCAGCAGTTGCCCCAAACAATATCCCTTCTGGAAGCTCATACCCGAGAAGTCAGACCTGCAAGAGTGAGACAGGTGATGCTGAAAGGATGGATGTGAACCAATCTGGGCAGCCAAAGCCATATGCAGCGAACAAATTACCAGCTACCGTTGATGGTCGTGGTGGCCACTGGTAGAATTTCTGCAGTGCGCCAGCAAACCATTTCTTAACATGTTATCAGTATCGACTACTTATGCTAAGTGCTACATTATTTTGACAAATTCAGAAATGTAGTTCTGTACAGATTTATATTCTTTGTCAGGAAACCTGAATACCCAGAGACTGTAGAACTGTACTCGAAGTTGCTGATTTCTACTCCTTGTTGCTATTCAATCACTAAAAGATATGTGCCTGGTGGAGAGGATTTGCCAGACTGAAGTATAGTGGAAACTCAGTGGCAGCAGTGGGATCTCAGTGCAGAGTTCTTGACTGATGTTGTCATGGACTTGTTCTTCAATCTGGTAGCTCTGAAGAGGAACTGAATATCTAGTAGTTTCTGCTAATCATCTACAGTCAGGTGCGGAATGTTTTGGGAGTTAGGAGCTGCTAGTTCTGAATATCAAGTCATTGCTGTAATCTGCACGTTTCTGAGCTCCTAACTTCTGAGCATGCTACTACTGTATTTTGTAATTTAATCAATTGTACTATCCAACACTCTGTTTACATTTATAACACGTTGCGAAGAAACTATTATGTGGAAGTGTGTATTATTACATACCTGTGATGGAGGATGTCTAGTTAGAACCTTTCTCTAGATTCCTGACATGGTTTGTTGCAGCACAATAGGTAAAAGGAGTTCAATGTGTCATGTGAGAATCTATTGGAACATGTACTATCTATACCTTTTGGGGTTCTAGCGTGTATTAAGTGACCCTTTTATATTTTGATGATATAAGGCAAGGTGCTGGTGGTGCTTGGCAGGTGCATTCAAGCCATTAGGCTAGCATTTGAGGAAACTCCAGCATGGAGGTGTGGTGCTGTTAGTCAAGGAGAAAGTAAGCAGCCTGAGCTATATTGGTTGAGGGTGGCATTGGGGCAAATCTGCACAGGCAATCTGAAAGATGTCCCATTCATTGTCTTGACTCTTGAAGAAATACTTGGCCCTCTGATCACAGTGGTACAACTCATAGCATGGATCAGATCGAGATCACTCTTGTGTGGTTATTATGTCTTGCTGTTTTTGAAGGTGTTACAGTATTAGTGTTGTCCTATAGAAACTGTGGATTTTGAGTAAACAAGGGAGGTCGTGCTGTTTGCCAGATCAAGCAATATATAAAAGAGGCTGTTACATCCAGCAATAAACGGCGGATGTGCAAGAAAAACCGCACCTTGTTGCTGCCAGTGCTAAAGAGTTGCTCTAATGCTCGATGCTCCTAGTTATCTTGTACTTGTACTGAGATTTACAAAGATGACAAAAGCAAGCACTACTGCCGAAACCTCAGTTCATTTTGCTCCAAAGTAACTGGATTTCCGTGTGGGTAAGTGGGTTTAGCTGGCGGCAAGACATTATTGCATAAGAAACATCTGCTCGCCGCCGACCGCCGGCCGCGGGTTTGATCCGGTATTTGTCGTCTCGCATCTCTGCAGCTGTCGCCGATGGCCACGGCCCACGGGAGATGACAAATGATTCCCACCTCCGCGTGCGATTAAGGGTAGAAACCGGAAGGGAGGGGGAGTAGCGGGTGTGATTTGAATCCCCCTTGATTCAAGATCGAATCGGCGTCCATGGCGGGCGGTGGGGATCCGGTCCGGGGCGACGAAGGGGGGCGGGACCCGCGCGTCAGTGACATGAAGGGAGGGAGAGGCGTGGTGCGGGAGGACGTTTTCACTTTTGCGATGCACCCTGAGTACCAGATTACCGGAAGCAGATCCTCTAATTGGGCTCCTACAGCAGCCCGTGTCACTGGTAGGTGGGCCTGGACCCAAAGTCAGAGGAGCCTCATCTCTTAGTATCACATAGGCACATAGCTATATTTCATTCCCCTAAAAAAACATAGCTATATTTCATAGGAATTATATCTAAAATAGTATAAACAAGGATTATCATATGCATTTGGTTTTAATAAGGTAAACATGTTGATTTGCCTAAATACATTTATTTGAAATGAGGTGAATACCTATTCTGAGCATTGCAAATGCTAAGCATAATCATGAACATGTATTGGTGAGTTCAATCTTCCATATTAGTTCATTTCATTCTCGACAACTCTATATTAAGGTCAACAATAATGAGCGTGCTCATGACTGAGAGCGTGGCAATTTGAATTCGTCAATAACATCTTGCAAAAAGTGTACAATTTTTCCCGCACAAAAACAATGTCACCGCTCATAAACCCGTCATCCGTAGGAGGTAACTCATGCCTCAACCTTTTCCATATTTGATCAAGTCATCCAATGGACGGTCGATTTAGCTAGCCCTCGTCTCTAGCCCCACGGAATCCACAGGATTACACTGTTATAATATGATACTTGGCTTGCTATCAAGACACTGTCTCATGGTGATCGACCCCACCCTTGGTCAATCTTTTAGCTCTTTCGTCTAGTTGTTTATGGATTAAACCATCAACTCCTATAGTTTGCAAGTAGTGATACCTTCATCACATACTCGACTTCTACCGTTCTACCAAACAAGCTAAGCATGAATTATATCATTTACTAAAGTGAACAAGCAACACTACAAAGTATGATCATGAACAATCAAAGAATAAAGGATATGAGTGGGTTGCATCTAACTTAAGCCATACATACATAACATATAGTCAACTTCATGCCATGAACAAGTTCAAGATGAGTAGGTGTCTTCCTTGGGGAGCAACTATAGGGTTAGTAGGATTGGGTTTGGCCTCAACCTCCTACTCAATGAGTGCCTCCATTGTTGTATCCATCCTTACACGAGTGCAATGCTGCAAAGTACATATGATACTTATGATTTCTAGTGCTTATGCATGAACATGTACCTTAGACATAGCTTGAAAAATAATTAGGGAGTATAGATTAACACTAGAGGATTAGGACATAACTACACTGGCTACTAGTCAATACTGTCAGACCATCCATCTAGGGTGTAGGACCATCTGCCACTACCTGTCGAACTGTCCATCCTAGCACTTAAACTTTGGGACACAAGTTTAGGGGAACTCGACTCTATGTGGTTCCTACCATATGCCCAAACAATCAGACCACATTGGTGATTAGGTCTTGAGTATCCACAAGTGATGCATCTTTGGTGGGACTTCATGCATGGACCGTTCACGTGAGTAGATAGACCATTCGCCCGATCGTTATAGAGATGGTGTGTGGTAATGGGATTTTTTTTGTGTCCACAGACTGTCCATGCATGCATGGCCGATCATCAGTGTGAACACATGCATGGATCATCCATGTGATCATTGCAGAACACACTTGCCTTTGGTGGTCAAGTTTTGTACTTGTGGACTGTCCATGGGTTTAGATTAGACACTTGCAAGTCTTATTGCTCAACTTGGTGCATGTGGACCGTTTGGGTGTGCCATTGGATTGTTTGAGGGGTTCAGATAGAAATAACTAAGTCCAAGGGCCTAGGTTTTGCTCTGGCGGACCGTCTAGTGCTGTAGGTGGACTGCCCGCTAGTGCTAGTGAAGAAGTTGAGATCCAATATCGATTTTGCTAAGAGAGGATCGGGCCATGTCTTTGGGCAAGTCTTAATCCAAATATAGTTGCTAGAGTATAGTGCATCTAGGGAGCTGCATTGGTGAGTTTGTGCATATATATGAAGCTCTAAGGCATCCATGGCTATCCTATCATTTTGTGAGATTGGAATGGTTTTCTAGGTGATGCTATCTAGGTTGGGTGCTAGAGCTTACCCTTTCTCTTCAAGAAAATGAGTTTAGGGCCCTAGGTTGTGTTGGCGGTGCTTAACTCATAATTCTTACCGCCAACATTCCAATAAAATAAACAAATATGAATACCAAAACATAGAATTAGGGATTTCAACTCACATTCTCCACAAGTTTTGGTGTTTATATGTTTGGCAGAACAATACATGAAAATGCATCAAAATGCGCAATCAAGAAAGCGTAATCAAGCAAAACAAGAGAAGGGCCACGTACCTAAAGAATTCGAGGCCCAAACCAACAAAGAAGAGGCACAGGCCCACTTAGCAACCGCCCCCGCAAAGGCGTTGCGGGGAGGCGCCACCCAGGGTGCGGCCACACCCCCCCTGTCGCCTCTCGGTCCCACATTTCGGGAGGCGGTGCATTCAATGCCCCTTAGGACGGTTGCATGGGTATCTCCCCGGAATATTCCCCCAAACCATCCTTGGTAAGCTATAAAAGCATGGGGTGGCCTCCTCATTTCATCATCAAGCATACACAAGAGAAGAAGAAGAAGAGCCTCATTCATATCTTTAGCTTCTATCTAGAGTAGCATAGGGAGTGAGAGAGAAGAGTTGGAGAAGTACCAAAGTTGTCGGCTACCTCCACTAGTGTACTCGGTGCACTTGTACACTTAGCGGTAGGAGTGTCGGAGCTGACGACTCCTCCACACTTGGACCTCTACGTTCGTCTTACTATTTGGAGTAAGAAGTTTGTGTTCATATATCTTTTGGTATTGAGTTCTTAAGTAAGTTATATTTGATCATTACAAACTTGTGGGTTCGTCGTCCATCCCTGTGGCGGATGCTCGAGTAGAGGACTCCTGATAAAGACGGAAGTTTCTAGCCAACGCTAGATTAGTAACCGATAGCGTAGATGTGGTGTCTGAGCTAGAAGTTGCCTTCGTTTGCCTCGTTCCCCATGGTTGGGTAGGTGGCAGGTGGTGATAGTCATGTCTGTCCCTTGTAATCCCCCACGTTCGGATTTGGCATAGAGCTACAGGCTGGCATCACTTGGCAGACCAGGTGTGATCCGGTGCCCAAAGCAAGTTTGTAGTGATAAAGTTATCTTCACTTAAGGTCTCTATCCTTAGGAGAACCTCACTACCCAAGTTATCCTTCTCTTATTTTCTTAGGTGAACTAGCTAAGAGACCTTTACACATCTGTTCCTTTGGGAAAATACGATATCCTGAATACTTCCGGGTGAAGTGCTACAACGGACAACGGTATATCCGTGCGCTTGCGGATTCCTTCTGCTTACGCTAAGAAATACCAACAAGCATTTCTAGCGCCATTGCCGAGGAATGATTCTATCTCTATTCTTGGTAACAATGTTTAGAAATGCCAACAGGTTGGTGTAGAGAGATTGGGTTGGCTCCTCTTTCCCCTTCTCTTCTTGCTCCTCCCCACAAGCTGGAGGGTGGGAGCTCTCCTAGTTTCACCCTAGAAATAAGGGAGAGGCTTAGGGATATATAGGGCTGCTTCCCTTGGGGATCTCCTTTGGCCTATTTTTTCCCTCCTTTCACCTTCTTGTTCCTTGGTTCCTTCTCCTTCCTTGCTTAGAGAAAAATAGAGGTGTGATGTATTTGGGAAGAGTAAGAGTGGAGGTGCATCATTGGTTCTGCTATGGGGGTGTGACAACACTCGTACTGACATGTGGGTCCAAGTAGAGGGTGATACAAACACCTCACAAACTACATGACCAAGCCACCATCATGTTCAGGTGAATATCCAATGTCTCAATTGGACAATCTGTCAGAGCACAACTCTGGCTAATAGAATGATAAAGCAACCGCCAGACCATCAGTAAGCTCCAGCCGACTTCACCAATGCTCAAAATTACTAGTTTTAGCAATGCATAATATATACCGTTTGCAAATATGGATTTTTATGATGCAATGCCCATGATGATCATGGTTATGTGTAAAGTGCACACTAGGTCATTACACCATATGTACTACAAATATTTTATGAAATTGTAAGGAAACAACCCAATCTCTTCTAGCTTTCACACTGGCATGTAGGATAACAACATGAAAGTAAGGTTGAGTTCAAATAGGGGATATCATGAATTTGCCAAAAAATGGAAAGTAGATTGTTAAAATACTAACTAATAAATGCATGCACACCGATTGTGGGTATTGAAGAAGAAACACGAGGATTTATAGTTTAGGGATTCCCTCCTATATATGCTTGACTATTATGACGGGATGCATCTAGGTCCACTCCTTTAATCTCAGTGAGTTATCTCATATTCATAGGATCTCAAATCTTCCTTCTAGAAGTGGATTCAATTAGAAATGGTATTTAACTAGTTCATACTCCTATCATAAAGAGATTTTGTGATTAC